CTCCTCCTCCTCCTCCTCCTCCTCCTCCTCCTCCTCTTTCTACCCCTTCCCTTTTCTCCTTCTCTTTCTCCTCCTCCCTCCTCCTTCTCCACTTTGTCCTTCTCTCCTTCCCTTCTCCTTCCCTTTTGTCCTCCTCCTCCTCCCCTTATACCCCTTCCCTTTTCTCCTTCTCTTTCTCTTCCTCCCTCCTCCTTCACTTTGTCCTTCTCTCCTTTCCTTCCTCTTCTCCTTCCCTTTTGTCCTCCTCCTCCTCCTCCCAAGAGGATTTTACCTTAATTGCAGCAAAAGGCAACATCTTAGCAGTCCTTGATGAATCTCAGAGAAATTAAGCAAAGTAATCTAGCTAAAAAGTAGAAAAGACTATCTCAGAAAACAACAACAAACCACTTGCATATTGTTGCCATTCAGGGCATCTCCAAAAGTCGAACACAATGCACCTAAAACATTGTGTTTGTTGGGTGGGAGGTTGGATCACACTATCACCGCAGCCATTTTTGCTTTTTTTGACCCTTCTGCAAACAGCCCTTTTAGCACAAGGAGAGGGGGAAAAAACCCAAATTGCACCGCTGATGTGCAGCCAATATTTGCCATGGAATAGATATCACAGCATGATCAGGGCTGGGCAACTGTGCCTCCTTTGTGATTTGTGGATTTCTGGCTCAGGAATTCTGGGAGTTGAAGTCCACAGGTCATAAAGGGGCCAGGAATTCTGGGAGTAGAAGTCCATATGTCATAAAGGAGCTGTGAATTCTGGGAGTTGAAGTTCACAGGTCATCAGCGGGCCAAGAATTTTGGGAGTTGAAGTCCATAAGTTGTAAAGGGGCTGTGAATTCTGGAAGTTGAAGTTCACAGGTCATCAGCGGGCCAAGAATTCTGGGAGTTGAAGTCCACAGGTCATAAAGGAGCTGCGAATTCTGGGAATTGAAGTTCACAGGACATAAAGGGGCTGTGAATTATGAGAGTTGAAGTCCACAGTTGGTAAAGGGGCCATAATTGCCCACTTCTGATCTTGGGGGACATTGAGAATTTCTGAAATGGGTTTGGGGGCCACAATTCACCAACTGCTCCTTGACCAAAGCGGCTGAGAAGAAAACAAGCAACCAGCCTTCTGTAACTTCCTCATCAGGAAACCTTTCATAACGTGAGAGTTTCCTTTCTCCACCAGAAGATCTGGTGACTTCCTCACATTCTTGAGTCCACCCTGGGGAACAGCCTCAAAGAAGGACAATCAAGGATAACATTTGGATGCAACCATGGAATTAAATCAATCCACCGATTATGAGGACGAGGAATACTATGAGGTAGGTTAGCTTTCTATCTGCCTCTGGTCTAGTGTTTCTCAACCTTGGTCACTTTAAGCTGGGTGGACTTCAACTCCCAGAATTCCCCAGCTAGCCTAGTCGTTGAGTAGCCAGTGGAATAGCGGAGACTGTCCTGCAGCTTTTGAAAAGTAGACTTGCAAGATCAACCCATCTGGATTGGCCCATTGGACCTTTGGGTGTGGGAAGTTTGCAGGGCCTGGAGGGTTGGTTGTACGATCCACCATCTCCAACAGGTTCTCCTGCACTCTTGAACCAACTACTATGTTGCTTCAAGTGCAAGACAGGAGTATCCCAACCTGCCGGACCAAGAGTGCTATGGGTACAAAGCAGTGAGGAAGCCGTCTTATCCACTGCTTTGGTCAGCAAAATATCTTGGCCCAATCCTCTTTCTGTGTGCAAATGACCTACCTGTTTGATTGCACAAGCAATGCTCACCCATTTTGCTTCCTGCAGATAACAATCAGGGCACAATCCTTAAAGTGTGTGTGCTTTGGATTCTATGGGGTTTACACAGTACATCGCTTGAGGCTGGGAAGGAAGGGCTCAGAAAGGTTGCATTTCCAGGGAGAGAATGAGGAGGAGGAGGAGGAGGAGGAGGAGGAGGAGGAGGAGGAGGAGGAAGAAAGAAAAAGGAAGGAAGGAAGGAAGGAAAGAAGGAAGGAAGGAAGGAAGAAAAAGAAAGAAAAAGGAGAAAGCAAGAAAGCAAGAAAAAAGAAGGGAGGAAGGAAAATAAAGAAAAAGGAGAGAAAGAGTAAGAAAGAAAGAAAAGAAAGAAAGAAGGAAAGAAAGAAAAAGAAGAGGAAGGAAGGGGAGGAAGGAAGGAAAGAGAGGGACGGAAGGAGGGAGGGAGAAAAGAAGGATGGAAGGAATAGAGAGAGAGAGAGAGAAAAAATGAAAGAAAGAAAGAAAAAAGAAAATCCAGCCAGCAGAAAAAAAACAGTACCAGCAGCAACACACCATTCCTAAGGAGGCACTAGTGAACAGCCCGTGTGTAAGTAAGGCTGTTGTATATATCTGGGATGTTCTGAGAATTTCTCCCAGCCCACTCCTCTTTCTCCTTCCCTCCCTCCCAGCTTGGCACACTGCCCGCGTTCAACCCCAACGCACAGCCATGCCTTCCCACCGACGTGAGGGCCTTCGCTCACTATTTCGGCCCCCTGGTCTTCTCCTTGGTGTTTGTGTTTGGCTTGGTGGGCAACAGCTCTGTGCTGGCTATCTTGGGCCGAAGCCACCGGTCCTGGCACTTTGCTGACCACTATCTCTTCCAGTTGGCTGTGGCCGATCTTCTGCTGGTCTTAACCTTCCCTTTACAAGCTGCCCAGTTCGTTCATGGCTGGACCTTTGGAGAATTCCTCTGCAAGGTGACCGGGGGTCTCTCCACCATGAACGTCTGCACCAGCATCCTTCTCCTGACCTACCTCAGCATCGAACGGTACTTCGTGGTGGTCAAGGGCGCAGCTCCAACCTTCTTCTCGAAGCTTCCTCACGTCTACCTAACGTCGGCCTTTTTCTGGGCCATCGGCATCGCGTTCGCCGCAGTAGATTTCCATTTCCAGACGGTCACCTACGTCTCGGAAGCCACGACTCTCGTCTGCCAGCTGGACTTGGAGGTCCAGGATGCCAACTCCTGGAAACTGGGGCTACAACTGTCCTTCTTTGTTCTGGGTTTTTGGGGGCCTGTCCTAACCATGATCTACTGCTACGTTTGCATTCTCACCAAGCTACACCGGAATGGTCTTCTGCATGTGCATTTGCCTCTCCATCTCCTGGTGGTCATCTGGATAACTTTCATTATCTGTTGGGCCCCGTTTCATTGCTTGATACTGGTGGACATCTCTCAGCGTCTGGGTCATTTGAAGAGGCACTGTGGATGGGAGAAGGTCTTGGATTTGGGGCTGGTGATCTCCAAGTGTTTAGCCCTCACCCACTGCTGCCTCAATCCCTTGGTCTACGCTTTGGGAGGGGTGGGGTTCCGAAGGGAATTTTCTAGAATCTTCTGTAGGGGACGCCGAACCAGGCACCGTTTGGACAGCGAGGAATTTAGCCAAGGGGCGGACTTCAGCACCATTCATGGCATGGATTATTCCGTCATGATGTGAGGGGCACAGGGTCCACCCTGCCCCGCGAAACCGGGAAAGATACGTGAAGTCTTCTCCTTACCATTGCCCACCACATACAGGTAGTCCTTGACTTACACCGGTTCATTCTGCGACGGTTGTAAAGTTCACAACAGCACTTACGATCAGGGATGGGCTTCAAAAGTTTTAGCAATGGGTTCTCTGCTTGGTTGCTGGGTGGGCGTGGCCATGGTGGGCGTGGCCTAGTCGGCCTCCTGCACCACATGGGAGGGGGGCATTTTCACCGTCCCTGGGCTCCGGAGGCTCTCTGGAAGCCAGAAACAGACCCTGCGAAACCCCACAGCAGCCCACCCCTGCTTACGACTACTTTTCACAGTTATGACCATTGCAGCATCCCCGTGGTCCCGTGATCCAAATTTAAACCCTTGGCCACTGATTCGTATTTATGACCGTATCCCGCATCATGTGATTATCTTTTGCGACCTTCTGAGAAGCCAAATCCAGATTCGCTGAACAATTACCTGTTACACTAACTTAACAACTGCAGTGATTCACTTCGCAAACGTGGCAAAGGAGGTCGTGAAATGGGGACAAAATTCACTTTACAACAGTCTCACTTAGCAACAGGAATTTGGGACCCAGTTTGGGCTCGTGAGTCAAGGACTATCTGTATTAAAAAAAAAACGGATTGTTGAAAGAAGGACCTTTCCCTCAGAGTGGAAGAGTTCTAGATGTGCAACAGCTTTGGAAATAATAATTACAAAACCTCTGTTGCATCTTGCTTCAGATTTACAAGAATTACATCTTGGTGTAGTTGCAGAGTTCTGGGTTGTTGTTTTGTTTTGGCCAAGGCTGGCCTTTAAAGGTGAATTTTGCATGTTTTTCCTCCCTTTTGTCCTACAACTCTCTGAATCAAATTAGACAGTTTGGTTTAAGGAATCAGGCTAGAAAGCGGGTGATTATGAGTTCAAGTTCTGCTTGAACTCCAACTGGGTGACTTTCAGCTAATCATCAGGAGATGGTGAGTTCTAGTCTCGCCCTAGATATCTATGAAAGGTAGGTGGGTGACTTTCAGCCAGTCACCAGGAGACAGTGAGTTCTTGTCCCGCCTTAGATATGAAAGCCAGTTGGGTAGTTTTGAGTCAATCATCAGGAGATGGTGAGTTCTAGTCCCGCCTTAGGTACAAAAGCCAGGTGGGTGACTTTGAGCCAATCACCAGGAAATGATGAGTTCTAGTCCCGCCTTAAGCATGAATGCCAGTTGGGTGGCTTTGAGCCAGTCCCTGTCTCTCACCCACAACCCACCTCACAGGGTTATTGTTGTGGGGAAAATAGGAAGAGGAAAGTGCGTTGGGTATAAATATATAAATAGGATATAAATAAATGAGTAAATAAATTCTGAAGTGAAATCTTGGCTATCATTTTATTGCTCGGCAGTTGGTGATGTTAAGCTGAGCTTAATATCAGTATTAAATGTATTCAGTAGCTGGGGATTCACTTAAGGAAAAAAAACCAATATTATTCAAACCTAATTCTTTACAGATCTGGAAAAAGATCATGGCAGATATTCTAGCATAGAAGAATGTAAATCTTCCTTGATGAGGAAGAATATTGACCGTAAAAAGGACTATCGTCTCAAAGATTAATTGATTCTGAAAGATGCTGGTAAGGCTTGAAGAAAAAGCATTGAATGAATAGCAGCAGCGAAACTACCGCTTGATTTGATCAAATAAAACAGAGTTTCTCCACCTCAGTAATTTTAAGAGGAGTGAACTTCAATTCCCAGTGGGGAAATTCTGGGAGTTGAAGTCCACCGTCTTAAAGTAGCCAATGTTGAGAAACCCTGTTCTAACTGCTTTCATTTACCTTCTTTTTGCATCCTATCAAGAAGTAAGGAAGGGGAACACAGAAGTGAGAGAGAGAGAGAGAGAGAGAGAGAGAGAGAGAGAGAGAGAGAGAG